TACAGTATGTTGAAAGCTGAATTACAAGAACCTGTTAGTTATTTTATTCAAGGACAAGTATGAAATTATGTTTACCGTTTGCTTGATCACTTCGGATGTTCGATAGAAGAATGAATGAAATAAGAAAAAAAAATTGCAGTGAAGCAGTACAGGTAAATATATTTCTCTCTCAATTATCGAGAGTCGAATTGGGACACCAATACTGTTGATAAGAAGCAAAAACAGAAACAATCTACACAAAAAATGCCTCTCCATCCTAAATTAATATCGGATAAGTATAGGATGTGAGTGTAGATGTGAATGTATGAATGAGTATTACTACCAGTGTGATGCATATCTGTACTCACATCTCAGAGATCTCAAAAAGTGTGTCGTCGTTATAGCACCGTCAACTACACATGTGGATTCTGTTTCGCTTGATTTCAGTATTCACTCTATTATTATTCTCTCTCATGAGAAAAAAAATGCCTTGTTGAAAGTCAACAAAATGCGCTAGTGGTCGATTGCTTATTGAAATTTTTATGCAAATGAAACAATTACTAAAGTGTATGTTGTGCAGGAGCATCGTATTTTTTACAAGAAAAAGAAGCAGAAAATATATGTACAGCAAGTAGCTTTTGCGTAGTCTATGAGAATGATTCATTTGGCGCATGCAGAACGTGTTTCTTTTACCAAAAACAACAAGAAAACCATCATTTGCATACCATTCTGATCCAAATAAAATCTTACCAAAAAATCAAGTGAATGTTGTTAGATTCAAAATAAAGTATAGTGGCATGAATTGACTTCTCGTCCTCACAGAATAAACTCAAGTAAAAATCTGTTTGAAAATAAATTAAAATAAGAGATGAAGAATAAGATAATCGACAGTGCTGAGTTGATTACGAAGTAAAAACATCTACGACACATAAAATAGTTGATATGTTTCTCTCTCTCTCTCTCTCTCTCTAATTGTTGTTGATATTGTTGGTCTCTCACTTCTTCTGAGTATATCGATAATAATACTCTGATTTTTAATTTTCTCTCTAAAAAGAGTTATTAAAAACATATCGATGATAGAGATTTCAAGATAGTCTAGGCTGAACTTTCTCATCATTTTTGGATGCACGCTAAATTGTTTGGAAATGTGAGATGCTAGACAAACATGAGCAACTATATATATTTAACAATTAAGATAAAATAAAATTTCTTAGAAAGAATTCATCATCAACAAAATTATAACACCAATATTGTACTACTTGGGACTTCAATGTTTCATTCAGTGCCCTTGTCTGTTTGATGACAGAAGAGTCACTGGAAGAAATGTCTTAGATTAATCTTGACATACACAATGGAATCTTGTCGATTCATGCAATCAGAGCCCATGATTGAATCTCCATGTCAGATCACGAATGTTTGTGAATAATATCATTTGGAAAGACAAATTGTTTAATATTCTATTGTGTTTTCATATATTTTCAAATTTGGCTAGCACGAAAGTCGACAACAACATTTTATTACTCAAAATGATTGTTAAGCGACGCTACTTCATTAAATTGTTTTTTTATGACTGAGTAATTTTTGTGAATTGAGTATGCATAAGTTCCGTTAATACCTCGAACAAATGAGAAAGAACTTCTTTAACTAGATTGGAGAGAATATCATTGTGCTGATTTTAGAAACCTTTTCAGCTTTCCTCCCGATTGTCGAGAGACAGTACGCATATCATTCGATTCACAATAAAAAAAAGTCTATCAAATTCACAAATCCAACTAGAATATGACTATGTTATAATTTGAAATAATCTTGATCTTCAAACCTCAACGACGAAATAATTCAACATGTTGTTTAATTGCGATTCAAAAGTTCTACAAAAGCCACTGTTTTGGCGATGCTTTTTTTTTAAAAGAATTTCTGTTTTTACTCTTGTTCGTACATGATTTTAATAATTAAAGGAAGGATTTCCTTTTTGTAACTCAGTGCTAAATGTTGAATATATACTTGAGAGAAAAAATAACTTGCCTTGTAAGACTAGCTAGTGGTTCAGATTAAGATCTTGATGAAAGGAGTATATTCATTTTCATGATGACTATATAGAATTGACTAAGAACGTTCTCGACGAAACTGTGAACTATATTTTGCAACGTATGTTGGTTTCTTTCTGCAATGAACAGTATTTTAGCATAATTTGTACAACAATTCAGTTACTAGCATTGAAGGAAAAATTTACAAGACATCAACGCGCTCTCTAAATGTATGTAATTGGATTACATATTAATTCTCTGGCTCTTGTATCTTCCTTGTTCACATTATTTCATTCAACGAACAGTGCAAATTCTGGTCTTTATTTAACATTTGACCAGCATAAATATCTGCTTCAATCTTTTGTACTTCAAAAGAAGGACACTCATGGGGTACAAACACGCTTGATGCTATGTGTTCTTGAATTAAGATCTACATCTTAATATGTCCAAAAGTATATGCATCCTTTTTCTTACAAAGTGTATGAATGGAATAATAGATTTCAGCACCATGAAGCCCAATTTTTTTATGGTTATACCTTTTTAAGATAATCATAGTGCACAGTATGCCTTCAAAGTTACTCGGAGGGTAATGTTCGAGCACCTGATGATATCCGGCACTCCAGAAGGAATGGATAATGTTTTTTACTAATTTGGCAATATGTAGTTTCAAAGATTTGTTTTTTTTATGCCAAAAGATATACGGCGAAATTTTCTTCAAAAACAGTTAAGAAGATTTTAGTAAAAATATATGAAATGGAAAACTTCACGAAAAATATTAAAAAACGCTAACGTCCTCAGCTTCATAACCAAATAACGAGATTGTTTCAACTTTTATTTTTCTGTATTCTAGCATACGAAAATGTAACTATCCATTTACGAGGGAAGGTATCCAAGTGTAACGCACCGTTTTGAATCGGATGCATTCCAGTTTGTAGAGCTCGATGAGCTAATTCTACTGACATAAAGTGTTCTTCCACAAAGGGCTTTAGATTAGATAAAATCAACGAATATTACGTGTGAAAAATTAAGTTAGATTATCTCTTTTTTCACTGTAGATTCTCAAATCAATAGACTTAAAACTGCTTAATAATATCTTATTCTGTTTGTTTGAATGTTGTTAGCATTGTACAGATGAATAGTTCACCTACAAAGCTATGGAAAACATCCATAATTCTGAGAGAATACTATTTGATTATACCTGGAGTTTAATCCTTGCTGGGATGTATAGTCTGAATATGTGACTACTGCTTGTGGTTGTTTCGCTCGCTTTATTTGGAGAATATTCAACATAGATTTGATGAAAATGATACATAATGCAGAGAAGTTCGAAACATCATATTCATCTACAATGGTTCCAAGAGATAAACGTGCTCTCATCACCATTATTTCCTAAGCAGTTGTTCAGTGTCAAAGAAAAATAGACTTCTTTCACGCTCTATAGCGGCCACTTGACCATTCAAACGAAAACAGTGGTCGAAACTCATAGCTAGAGAGAAGTAGAACCAGCAAGGCTTAAACTTGATGATAGTAGCATTGAAACATACAGAGTAAGATATCATCAAGCAGTTTTTAGTCTATTAATTGAGACTTTATAGCCAAAAGTACAATGATCAATGATCAAACTTGATCTTTTGCACTGTAATATGTAAAATTTCAGTGTTTTTAAATGTGATCTCTCACAAGTAGAAGTAATTGATTTTTGTCTCATTTAAAGTCCTATGGGGAAGAACGCTTTCTATCATTAGAATCACCTTGTCGAGTTCTATCAACTTGGACACATCGAAATCAAAACGACACGTCACATTTGGATGTTTTCTCTTATAGGCTTCCTTCGAGTAATTGGTAAATTCTTATAGATACTAACAGACAGATGAAATATAAGCAAGCAAACACACAAACTTATTTGGTTTCATATAAATTCTTTCAGTCGCGGAAGAAATTGTTTTTTTTTCGTAAAAAAGCCTTTTCTTTACTAAAAAAAATTCAAACTCAAAATTTTGAAAAACCGATTATAGTCTCGAATTCCTCGAGCTCGATTTTCTTTCATCAAACTTTACGAATAATTGCCATTCTCTCGAAACAGCATTTCTTTCGTAAAAAAATTAAGAACATTGTTAAAATCGATATTTTAGTATCTTGAATTAATCAACTTCTATTATATCAGTCGTTATTGTAGAACTCTTCTTTGTCGTCGTCATCACTAATCATACAATCTCAGATTTCATCAATTATGACGCATAAAATGAATGCCAGTTCGATTACTTTATTGTTGCTTGATTTGTACTATCGACGGTGAATTCATAAACACTCGGTATGGACAATTTTGAAGAATCAGGCGAATTTGTGTTAGTTCGTGCAACGAGATGTTTCTTTGTCTGCTCGATAACGGAAGTTTGAAACATGAATCGTTTCATGATGATTTTTGGCATCAGGTAAATAATGGTGTTGGAGTAAAGATCTGATCGAAGATATGGGTATAGGTGTGCGTGTTGGGAAAGAAAACCGTCACTTACACTCCATGTCGAGACCCACACCTCTTACACATAGTTACAACAAAATCTGCTTAAGTTTAATTTTACCTATAAAATGATATGTACTAGGTGCTCCAAAAGTCACCGCGCAGTTTTTGATGCCGCACAACTTTTGATAGAAACAAGAACGAAAGCTGCGATTTTCACTGTTGAAAAGAATAGACTTGAGGATATCAAACCATATAAGAATCATCATATAAAAAATTATTTTTAGGAGAGTTTTGTAAAACCAAGATTTTCAAAAAGCTGAAGTTCTCATAGCACTTTGAATTTTGAATAAACCAGTTTGTTTGATGCAGGTTTTTCACAAACCTCAGAAAAAATTAACAATATTATATGTCTTAAACGGTTGGATGTCTCGAATTTTTCTCTTTTTAATGATGAAAGCTACAACTTTATTATTTCTATTAAGCGCTAATCGTGATGAACAACTACTCAGTTACTTTTAAGCCATTCTATATATAACTTAAGCAAAAAGCATCGCCAGATTTAAATAAAAAGATATTCTGTTAGGATATACATAAGATTTGTCTTCTCTTTTATCCAATGTTGGTATATAATGTACATGAATATCTAGAAAATGTTTTTGATGTATAGAATTATGAAAAAGATTCGATAGTAATGGTATACAATGATAATTTTTAATAATATGAGTTTGATTAAGTATCATTGGATGATGATGATGATCTATTGTTATATTCGCTTGAGAATAAGAATAACGTACAAAAAAATAAACATGAATATCATCAGTTGAGTTGTAATTAATCATAACTTCGAACAATTTTGATAAACACAATTTTGTAAGATTAATATAAGGCACATGACGTAAGATTTCAAATATATCTAAGTTTATATAAATGTGAAAAATCATTTGGTAGCACACGTTTGACATGTGTTGTTGGAAATTTAATCTCTTCTCGATTATATGCAAAAATTCCATTTGATGCATTTTCAACATCAGATGATTGTGTATAAGTTGTAGTTGATAAACGTGATAAAAGATTAATCATAAGTAGTTCAAATGTATATATCATTAAATAACGATCATTGTATGCTTAATAATTTCAACCAGATTTTATTAAATCTAATCCACCACATTCACTAATAAATAAGGCTGAAGTTTTATCATTAAATGATGATAATATAATTTTTTTCGAATAATCATGTATATCTCTACTACGTTCAATATCCATTCGATCATACCATCCACTAGCAGGAATAATAAAACGGTTTTAATCATAGGATTATAGGCATGCTGCTTAACGTATTGTATCATATTGATCTCGTCCTTCATTAAATAATACCCAAATAAAAATTGATGAATGAAATGAAAGATAATCAATGATTATTTTTAATTCATATTCAAAATGAATTGTAGCTTGCAAGGTTTTTTTAATAGACCATGTGTGATGTATGAAGAAAACGTAATCTGTATTTGGAGACAATTAGTAAATCATTCTCTCTATTATTACGAAGTAATTTTAATTGTGTTTATTAACATCTCGTCGAGCTTCATAACATTCATAAGAATTTCCTGCAGGCACATCTTGCCAAACAAGTATACCTGATGCATCATCAGTTGGTGCACGATAGAGAGTATCGGGTCAGTAAGAACTCATTCAAGAAATATTTGATCAGACAGCCAGTCGTTGTTGAAAATAATATTTGCAGTACTAGGACTTGAAAAATCATTATACTTATTTTTTTTTGTTATTGTGATCTAAATGTATCCAATCCGTCTCTCCGAAGAAAAACATCAGGTGTGTATTTTTTTTTAAGTGTTACATTATATTTATTTCAAATAGTCATACTTTGAGAATACTAACGATAGTGATGGAGATATTTCAATTCCTTAGAAAAATATGTCAAGAAACTCTCTTTCGATATGATCTGATAGTAAAAAAATGCTCTACATTATAAAATCTTTGTAAGAGTATTTTTTATGATAATTGAGAGTAATATTAGATAATATTTTGTCTTCAATGTATGTTTTCTTCTTTTGATAGCATAAAAACAGCAAATCGAGAAAAATCTTAATATTTATAGATGGCTAAGCATGAAAGATAAGAAAAAAGAAGAAGAAAATACACATCAAAGACAAAGTGTGTTCTCATGTTGCCGTCATTGTTCATAGCAAAATAGTTCTTATGAAAATTTCATTATTATTGTTATGGGTGTAGATGGGTGCAGGTTTGAGTATGGGGTGTGAATGTGGTTGTAGTTATGTTCCATTCATACCGACACCCACACTCTGTGGAGTCTAAAGAATATAGAGTAAAAGAAGAGAAACTTGGTATTACCAAACACAGCCATGTGAGAGGCATGTCTGTAAAGGCGGAGGAGGAGCTGGCGAATCTGCATTGAAACTGACACTCACTAACTCACTATTTTATAGTGAGTTCTACAAAAATTCAAAAGTCCGGTTGGCTAAAGTCTGATGATATTGTGCTTCTATCTTTATCATAAACAAAATTATTGAAGGCACCCATACCTGGATACCTAAAATTGGATGTCAAGAGTCCATCGTCGTTCAAATTATACCCCGCAGGGATGAGTTTATCACTGATCCGCTCTAAATTCTATGTCTATGATCGAGGCAACAGCGAAAAAAAAAGGTCAGCACTATGCACTCGTTTGCAACGTACTTAAGTCAGTTACAGATTTGTAATGTGTTGTCCTTGTCTTTTTCTCAAATTCTGCGACTATACACAAAGATATGAAAGCGATAGGATGTTATGCTGATAACATATGAATTGAGTAGCTGAGTGGTTATCTCTTCAATGGAGAAAAGAAAGCAAAATGCGACTCTTCTTTTTGTGATAACGACTTTTGGCGAAGGCGTCATTATTGCGTGTGATGAGGACAAAGAAAACAGTGAGTGAGTTCATTTTTCTTGCATGGTCAGGTGATGCTAGCACACCATGAATGTTAGCTCGAAACATACAAAGAATTATTTTCCGGTTCTATTTTAATAGCCAACGACAAAAGTTTTGCTCGTATTGAAATGAATTTTTTATACTATTTCGATATATGAGAATAGAATGCAACACTTATATATACCGAGGAGTTCGAGACGTTTACGCAGCACATAGTAGTTTTATAGCTGTTTACTTCTTCTTTGAGAAAAGTAAAAAATATGTGAACACATCCATTTTCGGATGACCTGTTGAGAGATGAGATGGATTGTAGGAAGCAAGTTCGAGTTTATAACTTATGAATATTCAGCACTGAGCGTGAAATTTCGGTCTCATATCATACAATCGATCTCATCTCTCAATAAGTAATCCAAAAATGAATTTATTCACATATTTTTACTTTGCTCAAAGAAGGAGCAAATGCTTATAAAACTACTACGTGTTAAGCAAATGTCTCGGATTTCTCTGTATATACAGTGGCACTCAAAATTGATCATACACCCCATATAAAAAGTGATAGATATTGAGCAACGACAAATACCTCCATTTCATCCATCTGAACCAGAAGACGAATTTTTCAAATGTTTTAATTAAAAATAGAAATGCAAGTTCGCTCAAATATTTGAAAAATGCATCTTCTAGTTCAGACAGATGAAAATGTGGTAATTTGTCGTTGTTGGATATCTATCCGTTTTTGTATGAAATGTATGATCAATGTTGAATGCCATCGTATATATATTAAATACATACATATAGACTAATATTGATTTTAACTTTTAAGTAGAGAAAACAATAAGTTAAGCCTGCTTTATTTATTACGAAAAATACATTATAATATTGCTCTTAATCGTATTTGAATTGCTTGTGAATAATCTCAATCATGTTTATTGGTTTATTTATCGTTTGTACACTGTTCTACATTGTTTACGAAAATAAATTAGGTATCATATTACCTCAGATAGTATTTCAATGGTTTGGCTATACTATTACAGCAACACATGCATTATATGTAACAATTGCTATTGTATTATTGTTTTGTTTCTTATTGGGTACTCGGTCTGTATTAAAATGGCCAATATTTTTATTTTTTATTTCATTCATTCTCGCTGAATTATTTCTTTACATACTTTTACGATATTTTATTCGTTTACTAGAATCAATATTTATTCGACCATCAACATTAAATAATGCTGGAACTTATGAAGAATGGTATGAATATGCTTGTGAAACTGATAAATTACATGGAAGAGAAATATGGAAAGCAAAGCCTGAATCAAAATATTATAATGAAAATTTAATTCGTACATTTACTGATGAATTGAAAAGCTATCGAGAATTGGGAGATATTGAAAAACTCATAAAAATATTACAAATATGTATTAATAAAAGTATGAATGGAATTTTTAATGAACATTTATATTCGAAAAGCTTAGTTGGGACAAAATATATTATAGAAGAATACATTCAAGAGATTGTCACAAGTTTAAACTATTTAACGGAACAAGCTCAATCACTTAAAGTCTACAAAACATATCCAACACATGTTTTATCGCCAACCATTGGTTATTCTATTACATCTACAAATGCTGATGAAATGTATCATAGTACAACACAGCTGCTGACAAATACCAATATCAATAGTGATTATTCTGAATTACAAACTTCATTTTCTAAACAAGCTATCAACGTTTTAACTACTGATAACTCTTCTACGGGAATTCTATCAACTGAATTTGTATTACAAGCTTTAAAAGATATGAAATCTCATTATGGTGCAACAGCATTATGTTTATCTGGTGGTGCTGGAATTGGTCATTATCATTGGGGAGTGGTAAAAGCACTCTTATCTTCCGGTTATTTACCTAAAATTATAAGTGGTACAAGTAGTGGAGCCGTAGTAGCAGCTGTTGTTTGTACAAGATCAGATGACGAATTACGATCAACATTACAAGCTGAAGTATTATTACCTCATTTGAATTGTTTTGATGCTCCTTGGATGGATCGAATTAAGTGTTATATTAAATGTCAAGCTATGTTCGATCGAGATGCTTGGTTAGAAAAATTACAATGGTTTGCTGGAGCAGATGGATTCGAAAAAGTTGGATTAACTTTCAAAGAAGCATATGAAAAAACTGGTCGTATATTAAATATCACTGCTACAAATGCACAAAAACATTATCCACCACTTTGTCTTAATTATTTATCAACTCCAAATGTAACAATTGCTTCAGCTGTACTAGCTTCAGCAGCTGTACCTGGTTTAATTCATCCAGTTCATTTAATTGAGAAAATAGTGGATAAAAATGGTCAAATAAGTTACCGTCCTTTACATGGTGGACGATTAACATTTCGAGATGGAAGTTTTGAAAATGATATACCGTTAAATACCTTGTCAGAAGTATTTGGATGTAGTTACTTTTTAGTAAGTCAAACAAATCCACATATTGTTCCTTTCTTTTTTAATGCTCGTGGACAAGGTGGCTTACCATCAGGTTGGCGGTTACGCGGAGGAGCATATCGTGGAGGATTTTTATTAGCAGCCATTGAATTATTGTTGAAAGAAGATATGAAAAAAAATTTACGAGTATTGGGAATGCTAGATTTATTACCTGTTGTTTTTGGACAAGATTGGTCTTTCTTATTTTTACAAGAATTTCAAGGTCAAATAACTATGGTACCACATGTACGGCTAATTGACTATTTTCTATTGATTAGTGATATTAAAAATGTTAACGAGATTTCATACTATCTTCAAGAGGGAAAATTGACAGCTTGGAGAAAATTTAGCATGATTAAAAACAGAGAGATAATTAGATTAACGTTAGAAGATTGTATACAAATGTTAGAAAATAAAATATAAGCATTGCTACGTATGTAATGATATATAAAAAAGAAAATATTTTATAGCAGTATTTTGATATCATATCAACAAGGAAGTAAGTTCTCTCATAGGGTGTGAGTGAAGGACATGAGATAGGGCCTGAAGATACAGATGAAGAGAAGAGCCACAGCTACAGTCACATCCACACTAGCATACTCTTTATCATTCTTTGGCTTGATTCGAATGTGCACGCGATAAGTACTTTTTGTCTTCGAATCCATTAGTATGCTTATCCCTTCTATCTGTATATTTGTTGAACGTGATGCGAGCATTCATTTTCTAAGTGATATTAATGATTAAAAAGGTATATCTAATTGTTGCAAATTCTCTCGAAAAGAATATGATACACATCATACATGATATAGTTCAACTTCATTCACTTAATATTCTTGATAAAACTGAGGCTAAGAATGAACAATAGATCGACGAACGGAGAGAATTCAAAAGTATATTTTCAACATCAATTCTTTTTCTTCCTTCATTCTCAACGATTGATAACGTGAATCCCATATTTGTGTGTTCACTATTGCCGAAGAAAATTCTTCTTCAACTAAATTACAATGATGAATATAAACAACATTTCATCAATTTTTTCCGTATTATCAACCAGAATAACAGTGAAATACTGCGTCTAATTAATTTTTTAGCGAAAAGAGAATATCATGTGGGTTCTTCAATTTAGTGGTGTACCAAAGAATTATTCATTTATGCAATGATACATAGTGCTGCAAAAACTCAAAATCCTCGTCTTCTTTTGAAAAGCAGAGTCTTCATGCAAGATCTTCATCATCATGTCGAACACTTTCATATATAACAATCTCAAATGATAAAAGGAGTTGTGTCTCGAGGTCAAAGTATTTCAAACGATGATTTCAAGCAAGTACAGGAAAATCATGATGGTCTGTTTTTGTTCGATAAATCTATCTTTCGAATGGAAATTGATTCACTAATTTCATCAACATCTTTTGCTTCCTTAGATAATGTGAGTAATTATGGAGATATGGAAAATAAAATTCTCTCATCAGCACAGGCAATCTTTCGAATCGATGACATAAAACAAATCGAGAATCTCTTGTAGACAGCCAATTGTATTTTAACAATTAGTGATGATTAAGAGCTGAAATCTCTGAAAGATTCTAAATGTCCATCGATAGAAGATGCAATAGGAATTTGTAGTTTGCTACATTCGATGGTGATCATGGTTGAACATGATGTCGGAGAAGAAGTCCCTCAAGTATTATTCGAATGAGTTTTGTATGACGACTAGTCACAACTTGGTTTTCTTTGCTATCACTGTGACTGGACCTTAGCTGAAAAGGAAGATCTCACAAGTGTATTCATGCATCATAAGAAACACGTAAAACTGAAATTACACTATATGTTTTCCAACGATGTAGTTCTTGATCCGAATTCTTCAACCATTTAATGATTCTTTGAGACCAAGGTAATTCCGATACAGTAGTACAGCAGTTCGAGTATGCTTTTAACACTTGCATGAAAGATTCACAACTTCATCTACTAAATATGGCCACTATGCATGATAATATCAGTTTGCTATTCGAAACAGAGGGATGTGGGTGTAATGTTTGACTTATTCTTCTTCGACATCGACATCCCACCCACATCCAACTCTGTTTTTTTTAGGTTCTTACTTTTTTTTAGGAAGAAAAGAGATGAAAATTTTAATGTCTGCGAAAGAAAAACTTCCACAAAAGGATGTTCTACTTACAACGTCACTATTGTATAGAATGGTACCAAATTTTAATGTTAAAAGGAAACCCTGTCGTATCGTTCCTTTTTACATCTTCTTTCAAGCAAAAAACAAGCTATTGATTATAATGAAGCTTCTCTGAGAACCCGAGATACGTAATTGAAAAAAATCGAAACAGAGAAAAAACGAAAAAAAATTTTCTATTGGGAAAGATCATGTTTTTCAAAAAGAACATGACATAAGATTTTGAAAAAACGCGGTATCAAATTAAAGAAAAATCATGTAATTTATCAAAGATCAGGCCTTAAAGCAGCATTCCATGCCTTTATGTCTATGGTCGTGTGTTTGACGAAACGTTATATTTTTTAGGGAGCCGACCTCAAGGAACTTGTCGGGTCGGAATGAGCTCAGTTTATTGACTGCATCATTTATAGTACGTGTGCATGTTCGTATAATGAAGAGAATATTCAATCATGCAGCTGTTGATTGATTATTAGTAACATTCAATTAAAACTGAATCGAGATTTGATCAATAGTTGACGAGAATAGTTTTCCGACTGTCTCGATAGAGTTAGGCTAGCAAATTGAATCTGACTAAATTATTTAACTCACTGCTCGAGTAAAATCATGGATCGTACGAGCTTGTGAAAAAGCTTCTTGATATGTGGTGCCCTCACAAAGTGCACTACTTGCTATTGGTTCAATGATTCGTCTGACTCAGGCTAAATAAATACTACATTACTGTTACTTTTCTTTTCTACTATTTTTTCTTTCCTCCGATGTTACTAAGTAACTTTCGGCGATAGTAAGAACGCGCCGTTGCTTATCACATTCCGTCGGCTACATAGAGAAAAGTTGAAAATAACTATGAGAAGAAACGTCTCTTGGAATAAAACTCAGCAACTTTCATTCAACAACCTATGTGGTATACACTTGATCATGGATAGAACTAAAACAATAATCGACTGTTGAAGACTGAGTTTGAGCGTCAGTAGACTATTTACATTACAGGTGTTAACTTTTATTTATTTTATTTTATAAATATAATGAAATCAGCATATTTGAAAAATAAAGAAAATATACAGATAAACGTAAGATTTTTTTCTATTAGCGAAAAAGAAACAAATACGTACTATATCAGCAGCATATGTCAACCAAAAGAATATAGTAGCATGTAAATGGGTGTGGGTGGATGTGGGTATGGATGTCAGTGATTGTGGGTGTAGATGCGAGCATAATCCTATTGAATGACTGACACCCACACCCATACCCACACCCATACCCACACCCACACCCACCCACACCCACAGCCATACCCACACCCACACCGACACTCACTCCCACACCCACATCCACCCAGACCCAGACCCACACTCCACACCCAGCCACACCCGCACCTACACCCACACCTACCCACATCCACCCACACCCACACCCACACCCACCCCACAGACACATCCCACACCCACACCCACCCACGCCCACACCGACCCACACCCACACCTCAGCCAAAATTTACAACCCCCAAAATGCCATTAAAATGAGGGTGCGGATGTGGGATGTGGGTGTCGGTGTGGGTAGCGTGTGGGTGGGTGTGGGTCAGTGCGGGTGGGGGTGGGTGTGGGTCGGTGTGGGCGTGGGTGGGTGTGGGTGTGGGATGTGGCTGTGGGGTGGGTGTGGGTGTGGGTGTGGGTGGATGTGGGTAGGTGT